CCATGAGTTGCATGTTAGAACAAAGTCTTGCTGATCATATGAATATTGTTCAGCTAAATAAGGCTTGTCGCACTCATTGTTCTCCTGGTCATATCAAGCAATACAATCAATACTTTTTAACAACATCAAATCACAGTTTGTATGACATATATTTTAGAGTACATTTTACGTAACTGCCAATATTCTCTGAAACTACAACCTCTAGGCTCAAGATTAAAGCGTGAAATCTCACCATGTTCCTTGGAAACGGACAAAAAATCAAGGTTCTCCACGTAACATATTATAGTTCAGACTTTGACGATTTGTGGCATCCAATCTATTTGCTGACATTAAGTTCAAGGGTAGTTCTTAGTATGGATTCAGTTCAACCGCCTGACTTGACTTGTTCAACCACCTTACCTGCCATTATTAGATCTCTAAGGATGCCAATCACATCTACAGCCTATAGGCGTACTGGCTGTCTCTACTGTTTTTAGTGAAACCTATCATAAACTTTGGAACAAACGCTACCCCTCTCCTGGCTACCCCTGAAGAAGTTGGTGGAAATCAGCCCAATAATTCATAAACCCCACTGCAAACTTCTCGAAGACTAAATGCAAGCAATTAGATTAGAAGCAGCAAAATATCGACTTTGAGCCGGGCCTAAATATTGAGGATCTGGCGTTGACAGCCATGTATCTTAGAAGCTACCCACCAGTTTATCTGTGTACTTTTTGTCCGCCATCTTGTCCGTTGTTATACCCCGACCCAGCTTTCTCTTTCTTGTCACAAAACAGGTAGTCCACGATTTACGCATACTGAATTCTAATTGGCTAGTCAACAACATGGATCTACTCTACTCTGATCTAATCCAACAAGATCTTTTCGTGATCCATGGTTCCAGTTCCACCCCAAACATTTCAATGATGGCTGGACATATACTAGGCGGTTGCTTGTATAACAACTAGACGCTCTTGGAGCGTGAAGTCGGACTAGCTATTTTTGAATGTATGTTATGGCGTAGAATGTCTGGAATATTATATTTTTTACTTCTAATATAGCCTGTGTACATCCGTTTCTCACCCCTCCAAAAAAATCGGGGAGAGAACGTCTGTGATTTGCCGTTGCTAATCGTGTTCTGAGGTCCTCAAGATTTGGAGGACGAATTTCATTGGCCGTTGACTTTTGAGACAAAATCAATAGACGGCGTGTAAAGTTGGTCGCATAGAATGCCTCAAATTGAATATGTTATTTGCTCTCAAATTCTCTGTAAATGTTTAGGCTTTAATCTTATATTCGTTCAGGGTAAATTTAAAATTGATGTCGAATAATAATGTCATTAGAATTCGCCGCCAATCTTCACGAACAAAACTTGCATTTGTCAGAAGTGCTAAAGAAGAGAAGGGGGCTTAGTAGTTTGTATTCTACATCTCATAATAGCCTGCGAAAGCGCCAGAGTTACAGCTTCAAAACTGCCGAGGACAACGTAATCTTCACAAGAAGATTTTAGTACGGTCGATGGAAGTCATTGTATGACGCAAATTACAGGAAAACCACATTCTGACGAGACACCTACTACCGAAGATAGAGAGAGCACGGCATAGACCAATGGGCAGAGACAATAATGTAAACTACGGTCGAAGTTAGAATTGAATGGCTGAAACAAAAACAAAATCTCTTGGCATTATGTTCGAATTATGTTGCAGAACGGTCCATTGTTTACTTGACC